AACCACTTTTAAGGGGAATTATTATGCAAGGTGTTCAAGCATGATGCATGAATTGATCTTACGAATCCTAGTACAAAAGATTTATACAATCAAAAGTACTAGATTTTTAATACATAGGACAAACCTAGTCATATTATCCGCCACAAACTTTCAAATAAGATAGGATTTAGGCTAGATCAGAGGTAAGAAGAAAGAAATTTGAACTTTAAAATATCAAGATTAATTTCTTTGATCCAAATCAGTTTGAAGGTTTTCAAAAGTAACCTACAATGATCTTAGATAGGACCTGCTCTGATACCAGCTGTGGCAGAACCTCCTAAGAAATCAGGCCCACGTGCACCTATCGATGTCTCAACAGACCTCTGATAGCGTTCACGAGTTTTCAACAACTTAACAGGTTTGTCGGGTGTCCTCGGGAAACCCAAATCATCCATGAATCTTTTCCAAACAGGATCCCAATCACAGACATTGCAGATTACAACAGTTTTCGATATACATACCAGAGATTGTAAAGCGGAAGACTTAAGTTTTAGTATTACAAACCAGTTGTTTCAAACTTACAAAACCATAAGTGTCATACAACCATAGTAGCGGGATAATATTACATTAACATTATTTATTTCACACAAACTAGTGTCTTGTCCAAAGGCCATTCATCATTCCTCATCGTCATCGACTTCAAACACTGACATGCAGCAGGGACCAAAACAAGCCTGCGCATGCGACTCACCTGCAACAAGGGTTAACAAACCCTGGGTACAAAAGTACTCAACAAGACTGACCCAACGAAAAGGGGTGAAGGACTTTAGAGATGTAGGTGTTGGGTCAAGGTAAGGATGTAGCAAGATTCAAAAGTTCTTTGCCAAAAGCTTACTATTCTTGATCCTATTTTCGAGTTTTACCCCTAAATACTTTAGTTCATTATCTCAAACTAAGTGTTCATATCCCATATTCCGATCCTTCTCATTTCATTCCTTTTCTCATGTTTTAGTAATTCACCAGTCCTGCATTGCTTCTGTAATGAATCGAGTCTCCATATCCGCGGAGCACCGGCAATTCGAATTGATTCAAGTCATAGCTGGGGATTCCTTATCACACGACATATGTAGAACTTAATCTTGCATATATCAACCTCGCTACTGGATCCTCCCAAACTAAGCCGTCTCCACGCCACCCGAGAGCACAGCACACCTCAAATCCGGTCACATTCCAGCCACGAGGGTACATGCTACTCCCGCCATCTCTCCACTCCCAGTGCGTGGGCATTCGTCTTAGTATCGGATTAGCCGAAGTAGGCTTACCGGAGTATATGACCCATACTACAAAGTGTCTCATTCAGAAGATCCACAATGAGTGACCTTTAAGCGATATAGTCAGCAACATTACCCAACATTCAAGATAAGTCACCCGACTAGTCTCTAGTTCATTCTATTTTCTTTCTTTCTTTGGCCAGTATGCCATCTTTGATTGTATCGAAACTTTTACTTTGAAAGCCTACCATAAAGCATACTAAGCATTCTACGCCTCTGTAAATAAAAACATCTTCAAAGATGGTAAACAATTAACAAGGTAGGCAATGCATCAAGTAGGTAACATTTGAATTAATCAACTTAATGCAATAAGTAACATAGGTGATAACTTTTCAAAGTAAACAAGGTAATAGTTTAATGCATAAACCAGGGCTTGCCTTCGTTGACGATCTCGGATTTTGGATCAGTTCCACAAATATCAAATCCTAAGACGACCAGGGATTCTTCCATAACTTGCTCAACTAGAATCGGTTCACTCTCGAATTCTACACGAAATAATAACATATGCTTCAATATGATGATAATGTAAACATGATGCTTTCATGGTGCATGAAATGTAATAACACCTGGAATACAACTTTTCTTCACGATACAGTTGTAAATCAAAACCAATTGACACTAACATCTAGGGTTTCGACAAGTTAACTTGCTAATGACCTTTGTTATCACATGAAATGTCATTAAGATTTACTAATTATAAGTTAGGTATGAGTTCAAATAACTAATTAAGGTACCAAGGATCATCATAAGTTACTGACCCAAGGTCAACATTCAATTCCAAAGTCAAACAAACCCTAAATGATTAAGCATTAACTAAGTGAATAATTAATTAAATAATTAAGCCTAAATTAGGTACAAAATCAACTTTGTTCAATTAAGCTCAAAATTTTATGCAATCTTCCTCATGACAAATTAGTGTACCAAAATAAATTTCATAATTTTTGGAGTTATACAGTGGCCTACAAAAATTATGGAAATTGCATTTATCAATTAATTGACTGAATTTTTGAACATTAAAAATTTATTCAAATTGCAAGTTTCATATTTTTAAACCATAATAGAACATGTACAGAAGCTACACACAAATTTTCAAAATTTTTGGAGCTGTAATTATTTTCCTACAAATTTCCAAAGTTGCTGCACTATTCAAAATCCAAAAAATACTAAATTTCACTGTTCTCTCCCTTCTCTCACTAACAGCCAGGTCCCGCTGTCAGCGACACAGAACAAATCACACGGCGGCGTTGTCGACTCCGGTCGACCAAAACGCGCCGACGGTGAGGTTCCGGCGAGGCGGACTGCACCAGCATGATCTACACTACCCCACGAATCTACCCCGACCCTTAGAATAGCAGCAGGCGCACTAGAGGAAGCTCCACGCCAGCCATGGCGGCCATGGTGGCTCGGACACGGCGACACACAACACTACGCCGGCTACAACGCAGTAGAGGCTAAAGCGGAGCGAGCATCACGCTCAGGAGCTCACCGCGAACACGACGGTGTGCTTAGTGAAGGCGGAGACGGGCTGGAACGGCGTGGCCACGGTGAGGTCGATGGTGGCGGTGCTTCGGTCGGCTCCGAAGAAGAAGACGCCGTGGGTTGGTGCTGGACTACTAGAGGAGAGGCGAGCAGGCCTTGAAGGAGCGGCAGGGCGAGGCGGAGCTGCTGGCAAATGCAATTGGCACGAGGTACTACGGTGAGGACGAATTTTGCGAGTGCAGCAAGGGTACCGGCGGCGAGCAGTCGACGGGAAAAGAAGAACGACGGCGGCGGATGCTCCTATTTATAGAAGGGGAGGATGCGCCTGACTTCGACAGCTCCCGACGAGGTTGCCACGGAGACGGCAGCGTGTCACCGCGCGAAGAAGCGGTGAAAAATGAGCGGTGGCATGCGGCTGCGTGGCGCCGGCGGCAAGCAGGAGGTGGCGCTCGGCTTTGTTTTGATTTTTGAATTATTTACAAAATTGCCACTGAGTTCTTTTTACAAATTACTCACAAATTTTCTAAAGAAGTTGAAAATCTACAAAAATGAAAGTTGCTCAACTTTTCAAACTCTACAACTTTGCTTAAGTGAACATTTTCAAATTCTACCTCCATTTTTAAATTTGAATTTGGGGTGCATTTGAGCATTTGAATCATTTCAAAATTACTCCAAATTTTATATGTAAACTTTAAAAACTTTGAATACCAAAGTTGATCCTTATAAAATAAGCTTCAACTTTGCTTTTTGTCACACCCCCAAATTGCAAATGGATTTTGAAATAGACAAAAGGGGCAAAAATGACTTTTATAATTTGAATTTGAATTCAATTTGATTTGTTTACCTTTTTACTTAATTATGGTTTTTGACCAATTACATGGTCCATTAGGGTTATTTAAGTCAAATGACACATGATCTCACATGATCACATGAAATTTGACCCTTGTGGTCCTGATTTTCATTCAGAGTTTTGAATCACATTACATCCCATAAAATAACAAGTTATGAAATAAAGCTTATTTAGTGATTGCATTCAAAATTTTATACTTTATGAATGCTTTGCAATGCACATGATGACATGTCAAGTTTTAGTTCTAGGTCAAAACACCAGAGGTGTTACAATAGGCGTTGGCGTCAGGGGGGGTGGGATGCTGTGTTGTGCAGGCAACGGCCACCTCCCAACGACTCGCTGATAGTAGCCAACCGTCGTCTATTTTTTAATCTTTTGTGTACAGTGTCATAAAAAAATATTCTTATTTATTTTATCTGGCTGGTCTATAGCAGTATGACCTGTTTTTGCCATTAATGCCATGAAGACTGTTTGGACATTGTATGAAGCGAGACCATAGTGCCGTATTAAATGCATAAGGACCGCTTTTATGCTCCATTGTGGCTGCCCTAAGGCAATTTTGGAGCATCTTCACGTGAGTCTCTGGCAGTGAGGCATGACGCTTCGAGGAGAAGCAAGGCATGCAATGAAGGTGTTCGATGATATGCTTCAAAGTGACACCGCTATATTTTTTATAAATACTTTTTAACAAGCGTACACCTAAATAAATCTATAACTATAATTCTATAACTAAGTTATATATGATTCAGTGAGTATGAATTTTTTACTATAATTCAAGCATACAATAATTAGCTCATCATTCATCACAATTAGACCATAGAAACTGCAGCTAAGAATTAATTACAGAAAAACATATATTTAAAGCTATAGGAAAAAATTATAATAAAGCATACCATATTATATGTTCATTGTGTAGATCTACTCATATGGAGTCCAACAAAATTAAATATTCCACTTTATGATTCATCTGTAATTTACTATAATTTTTAAAGATTCATCCGAAATAAATAAATAAAAAAGATAAAATCTTCTTTGAAAACCGTTTATAACTGGTCAGTTAGGTAAAACGAACTATTTTAAAAATTTAGGGAGGTGGCTTTACCTATTTTTAGAGTTTAGGGAGAAAGAGTAGATTTTTGCAAAAGTTGAGGTGGGTAACGTGCACTTCTTTTCTCGCAAAAGTTGAGAAGGGTAACGTGCATTTTTTTTTTCTAAAAGACTATACACTCGTCGGGGCCTCGGTGGACACTCGACAGTGGCAACTGGTCCAGCAGAACTCCGCAAAGCGCTCTCGCTAGTCGCTACCGTCTCCCCTCCCAAAACCCCGTTCCCCAACGTCAAACCCTACTCCGATCGCCGCCATGGACGCCGGCGGCGGCGAGGACCGAGGCCCCATGACCTACGCCCAGGCAGAGCAGTTCTTCACGTCCTTGGAGGGCCCGACAGTGCAGGAGCGCATCGACTACATCTTCCCCTTCCTCATCTCCCTCCTGCCCCGGCCCTTCGTCCCCACCCCCGAGGTCGCCGGCGACGACTCCGACTCCAACGACGAGCGCTTCTCCCTTACCTCCTCCGACTCCGAGGCCAATATGAATGGAAGTTTTGTTAGCTCAGGTAAGAGCTATGGGATCCATTTACTGCTTGCTTGTCTAGCAAAGTTTCGAAGTTTTGTTCATGGTAACATGACTTTCTTGGATGTCTGGTCTCTTCACTTCAACTGTAGACTTGTTGGTATTGCAGGATAGGATGTAGTATAGCAATTTATTGTTTTGTTTGAACATTTATTAATTGATTTCATAAATACTACCTTATGTGCTCATATTATAGAGATTGCTGGGGAACTTTGGTGGTACTAGCGATAATTAGTAGTAATATCAGAGCATCAAGATGTTAATTTAATTGTTTTTGTATTACATATCCAATTTTTAGTTGTTTCTTAAGCTTAAATGGTTCTTAATAGCAAGTAGGAAAATTGTGACATTTGTAGACAGTCACAAAGAGTAAATTATGTTGATGGAAAAGAGTGTGCCAGGTGGAATATTTCTTAGTAATTTGTTTTGCATGAAAAAATGATTTGGTATTTACTGCATTGCTCTGGCACACTAATTTAGTGCAGGAAAAACAAATGGTGAATTGATCAGTTATACATCAGCTCTTTTAAATTCTGTTTTCCTTGTCACCCTGTCTGTTCTCATATAATTAGGTATGTTCCTGTTTAATGGGCTGAGATTTGACATAGGATTATTGCCTCTATGTAGCAGGAGCTGATATGGTCATGTCGTTCCACTAACAGCTTTTCCAAAGTTCTATTTTAATTACTTCTTGATTGATTTTGATTCAATGTCAGTACCTTTTTTTTATGCTTTAAGTTAGCATGTCTTATTTGAAGAGTGGTGCTTGGGGAGAAGAGCAGAATATGCTCACAGTAGTTGCAGTTATAACGATGTCTGTGCGCATGATTTATTGTCATCTAGGATTATTCATAGCTTGAACAGTCCCCACACCATCTCCGTGGTGTTACTTTTTTTATAACAGAAAGAACATAGATTTTATTGTAGAATGTTGCTTTGGCTTTATAATTTCAGTGCTTGAAATCAAATATCTATATACGAAACACAATTGATATTGCCGGAAATCAGTTGATTGGCAAGTAAAAGAATATTATCTATGATATTGATATTTTAGTTTTGATGCTCCAGTCATAAAAGTTATAAATATATAATATGAAACATTTCTTCAGTTCACTGTACTATCATTTCTACAGTCCTTTTCGCTTAATATTCTCCCATTTTTCTGAAAGTTTGTGCTTGTCAGAATGATGAATGTGATGTAACTGTACTAATGAATAGAATGATGAATCTAGTTGGCAGAATAGTCGTTTTGGTCCCTGAACTATTGCTCGAGACTCAGTTTCATCCCTGAACTTTCAAAATGGCCGTTTTAGTCCTCAAACTTTACTTTCGGGCTCAATTTCATCCCAGAACTACGAAGATGATCGTTTCAGTCATGAAACTTAGCATTTTGGGCCCAATTTCATCCATAAACTACTAAAGTGCATTTTGGTATTTAAACTTTTATTTTTCAACTCAATTTTGTCTATCTAAAAAGAAAACTTTATATTTTAGACACAATTTCATCCATGAATTATCAAAATGCATTTTTGCACAACTTCATCCTTTGTCTAGCACCACCCACGACATTGTTAGGTACTTTCAACATTTGTATTTATATTCTAAGATGAATATAAATATAGATCTAAATATTCTTAAATATGAATTCTTTTTATCCTATGGATAAAAATAATTATTCTATACACATGGTTATTAGTTGAGCCTAACACTAGAAGTAGCTGAGAAAAAAATTATAGATCTACTATTGTTTCAATATATCCATGTATTCTTAAGGAATATCGTGTGAAGCAACTGTAATTGCTCCCACAGAAATCATTTATAGTCGGATATATATAAATGGTATCATTATAAGGTAACATTAAAAATAACAGCTTGGAATTATTAATGGTTAGTAAAGAGTTTTTGGATGAGTATTATTTTTCTAACTCCAATCGCTTCCAAAATGCAAAGTTTGAGGACTCAAATGATCATCTTTATAGTTTTAGGATGAAATTGAGCCTAAAATACAAAGTTTGAGGACTGAAATGATCATCTTCATAGTTCTAGGATGAAACTGAGCTTAACAGTAGAGTTTGAGGACTAAAATAGTCATTTTCAAAGTTCAGGGATGAAACTGAGCCTTGAGAAATAATTTAGGGACCAAAATAACTATTCTGCCAATCTAGTTCATAGTTCATATCACAAACTAATATCACTGTCTTTGTTCTTCCCTGCTTCACATCTTGGATGGATGCTGCAGTAGGAATCGTGGTGGAAGTGGCCTTGCTCATTTCAAAAGAGTTTTTTTTTCCATTCTTGAATTTGTCACATGCTGATATTGAAAGCGAGTATAAAGGCTTTATTTACTCAGTTTGAAATTGGTAAGCCAGTATACTCAGTTTGAACTTGGTTTATTCAGTGCCCTGCCTCCCTATTTTTGGGGCTTGTTTTTTCCAAACAAATTTTGTCCAGGCATCAGGGGTTGCGTTTGCCGTCTTGAGAGCACTGTACATGGCTGATGTGTCCAAGTCCCCATCTGGCTTCAGCAGTAAGCTCTTTCTTCTGTCTTGTTCCGTGGTCAGCACTTGCTGGTTGGCTATTTGCATTGCTTCATCGAGCTGCTCCGTGGCGACCAGAGATGTCGCGCAACTAGTGAGGCCGGGTTTAGATTGCAAATTTTTACAATCTAGACACTGTAGCACGTTTCGTTTGTATTTGACAAACTTTGTCCGATCATAGACTAACTAGGCTCAAAAGATTCGTCTCGTGGAGACACTGTAGCACGTTTCGTTTGTATTTGACAAACTTTGTCCGATCATAGACTAACTAGGCTCAAAAGATTCGTCTCGTGATTTACAATAAACCCGTGTAATTAGTTATTTTTTTACCTATATTTAATGTTTCATGCATGCGTCTAAAAATTGATGTGACGGAGAGAGAGTGAAAAAACTTGGAATTTTGAGTCAATCTAAACAAGGGCTGAATCTGTGAGCCCATGCTGCGCTGCTTGCTGCACTGTCACTTCCTGATTGTTGCAGTGACTGTATGTATAGTTCAGGGAATCTGTCAGCCATGGAGTCTTCACCGTTCCAAACATCGTGCCAGAAGGATGTGTTGCACCCATTGCGAAGCTGGACAGTCGTGATTGCCCGGTATAGTGGTAGTAGTGATCGCAGCATCTCCCAGTGTTGAGATCACCAGTGAGGGATGCAATGCACACGACGAAGGATTACTCTGATGCAACCTGTGTATCATTTTTCAGAAGCAAGTAGGTGTTTCTGGATTCTCAAGTCCTTCAGACCGAGCCCTCCACTATCTTTGGTGTTCCGTCAAAGACATGATCCCAGTGTTGTCAAAAAAAAAAAAAAGACATGATCCCAGACAATCGTCTCCTTTCCTCGTCGTGCCCCGTGACGTCAGTACGCTACCCATCCGCACCGGCTGTCGGCGGCACCCGCCCGCCGCTGGCCCGAATCGCGAGCGGCGATCTGTACGCCGTCCGCGCTCGCACGCCTAGCGCGATGGCGCACCCGATGTACGGCCCCGGGCCGGTCCGATCCTACTCTTCAAATAAGAGCGCGTCGGAGAGCACCGTCGGCGGCCACCGACGAAGATTGCCTTTTTTCTGGGAAATCATTATCACCATGTGCTGGGTTATTTGGATGATGAGGAATGACATCATCTTCAGAAATCTTGCTCATTCAGTGTACAGATGTAAGACGGTTTTTAAACAGGAATTTGCTCTAGTTAGTCTAAGAGCAAAAGCTAGTTATCATCCATGTATAGATCAATGGCTAGAAGCTTTTTGACTTTTTTTTTATCATCCATGTATTAATTTTCTTTTTGACTTTTTTTTTTATCTTGAGCCCTCTCTGTAAGACATGTAATTTTTTGCTTTTAATAAAATTTCAGTAGGGGTCTTGACCCTTCTGTTTCATAAAAAAAACTGACGACGTTGCGTCGTGGGGGCCGGTGTTGACTGTACTGACGTACGTGTGGGTTGCTACTTGCTGAGGTGGTTTCCCACAATTTTTTTTTATTTCTGATGTAAGTACGTGTGGGTTACTGAGGTGGTTTCCGACAATTGCTAATATAAATAACGTGGTATAGTCAAAATGTATTGTTCGTAGATTTCAATTCAACTAGAATATGTGATATTTTGTGTTCACTGCATGGATCTACAAATGTGGAGCTGAACAAAATTCGTTTTGTCATTTTTGGATTTTTGTATGAATTACTATGCATTTATCAATTTTCAGCCGATTTAAAGAATAAAAAGAACAGGTAAACCTAATAGGTCAAACGCTTTGCACATAGGCCCCTGTACTTTTCCTTATTCTCAACGTGATCTGATGTATTGTCCACAACTGTTAATAGTATGAGTCAGGAAAAGCTTCTATTCTCTTTTCCTCTTCCACGAGCGTTGAGCAGAACAGGGGATGGGCTGATTCCGGACGATTCGGTCCGCGTGGTCGCCGGCGACGATGATGGAGGGCCGTGTGGGTAGCGGGGTGCTCGGCCACACCAGCAGGTGGGCCCAGCCTTGCCGTGGGCGGCTCGTGGCCACCGGGCAACGCGTGCAGGCGGCTCAGCAGAGCAGAGCACGCACGCAGGGTGCAAACTGCGGACGCTGGCGTCGATCCTGCTAGGGACGGCGACGGCTAGCCGACCGACGAGCTGCGACGGGCCCGCGCGGTCTAGGGGCCGACCCTCCCACCGAGCCGCGGCCTGCTGGCCATGCGCATAGGCCCGGCTGCAGCGGTGCGGCACGATCGCCACGGCGGGGGTGTGGCCGCGCAGGGCCAGGGCCAGGGCCGGCTATCGCGGGCGCCTGCCCGGCTAGAGTCGCGACGACCGATGGGAGCTGCGCGAGACACGTGGCAAGAGAATGAGCCAAGCCGATGGTGTGAATTTCGTACAGTAGAAGATGTGACCCGTTAACAGTTTTTTTTGACAACACCCGTTAACAGTTGAGTCGCAGGCCCAGTATATATAGAATTGAATGGAAACACACCATGTTAGCGTTGTTCATTTAAGGGGGTTTTCCCTTTTATTTTCTTGTTTTTGTTCCTGAGGGGACCTTATTTTCTTCTTGGAAAATAAAGAAATGAATTTAATAAAATAAAATAAAATAAAAAAGTGAATGACCGAACTGGGCCACTTCAAGGCCTGTTGCCCGAGCAGCCCAGGCCCGGTAAGCACTCCTGCCTCCTCACCGTACGGGAGAACAGAGGGACTCGGTCCTCTTGAGGATTTTTTATCCTTTTTAAATAAATATTTTAATACTAATCCCATTTTTTTTTTGCAAAGGCGCGACAGTACCACGTTGTCGCGCCACATGCGCTGGCGCGACAAGCCCAGCCACGGTGGCACCCGTCGTTGACCGTAGCTGGCGTGGCGGAGCGTGGGTCCCACCCTGTCGTGCCACCGACTCTGGCCCATTTCTTCTCTCTGTCTTTCTCTCGCTCTCACCTTCCTGCTCGTGAACTCGATCGCCGCCACCGCCCCACGACCGCGCCCAGGCCGTCGCCACCGCGTCTCCCCGCCCCCTCCTAGTCCGGCGACCATCTCTCTCCCTCTCCCTCGCCATCTCCCTCCGTTCCTGCGGCGCCCATGGAGGAATAGGGTGCAGCCTAGGAGGCTTCCCGCGGCCTTGGTGCCTGGCCGTGGCGGCTGTCCATCACCGGCGAGTGGACGTCCCAGCCCTTTGGAGTGAAGTAGACTGCCAGGTTAAACTCCGTGTCCTCCATTTGTTGATTTGTTTCCTCATTTCTTGGTTGACTAGGGTTAGGAAATTTGGGAGACTGTGAATGTTTGTAGCGTTGGTAGTTCAAATTTGCTGCGTTGATTAGGTTTAGGACAAGCATGGCTCGTGCATTCGACGTAAACTACTTGTTGCATGGACCTAGGTAGTTGATGCATGGGGGATTTGGATGGGTTAGTGTGTTGCCTTTGTTGACATGGATCTAGGTAGTGTATTAGTGAATGGATATGATTTATTTTCGAAATGTGTAGTTCATGTGTTGTTGATGTGTTGGTTCGTATTTTGTAGATGGATTGGTTAGTGCGATTGTTTCATGGTGGCAAAGTACAAGGAAATGGGGAGTTCGAAAGCATGCATGAACATGTTGAGTTCTTTAGTGGACCTCCTACCTTTGATGCTTTGGTTAGCAAGTGCTGGGATAAATTTCGGTGGCCACTAAGTTTGAGAGGCAGATTTGACTGTGGGAAGGAACGGGCACATTATGTGTTGATGTGTTTGACATGTGAGGATGAATGGAAGAACTACATAGAAGTTGTGAAGAGTAGCAGTGTTAGGTGCTTGGAAGTTGTTGTGGAGAAGGGGTGTAGCTGAATTGTGGTGGCTGTGGATGATAATATGGATGTGGAGGTCGTAGAGAACCTTACCCAAAATGAAGAGTTGCTGGCGGTTGTTGTTAGAGAAGTTGATAGGTCATGTCAGCTTGGTGCCTTGAATGATGATTTCGATGAAGAAACGTTTGATGAGGATGATGGCAACAGAGATGGAACACATGATATGGATGACATATCCCAAGGATCGGAGGATGACGAAGTTGATGTTGCCTCCGCAGATGAAGATAACTTTACTTTGGGGCCAAGGTACTTTGGATGATTGTTGGAGGACGAGTATAGGTCTGAGCCTAGTAGCGAGGACGAAAGTGATTGTTGTGAGGGAGGGTTTCCGGATGCAATAGGAGTCCCAGCTAACAGGTCATTGAGAATGGAGTACAATGACGTCAAATTGAGGCAATTGAAGGCTGTCCATGTGGAGGTACCCTCGGTACCAAATTTCATGGACATTAGTATGGTTGACCAGGCAATATGTGACACCGGTTTGTCGTTGTTGGCCGATGAGGGACCAGACAGTGAGGAGGCAGAGATTAAGAAGGGAATGGTATTTGATACGTTGGAGCATCTCAAGTATTTCCTGATGGATTATGCCGTTTGGTTTCATAGGCCTTATTATGTGAGCCACTCCAAGAAGAACAAGAGGTACACGGTCCTTTGCAAGAATGGATGTCAATGGGGTCTATGGGCTCGGAGGCAGAGAAATGAAAAGTGGAAGATTCGTAATGTGAGGCAACCTCATACGTGTCGATCTTTGAAGCTGAAGGGTGTGCACGCCCAAAACACAGCTCGTTACCTTGGTTGTCGTCTTATTGGCACGGTTAGGGCCAATAGTGATACATCTGTTTCAAGCATGATCGAGACCATATTTGGGCTCACTAGTTATAGAGTGAAGTACTCAAAGGCATGGCGGGCAAAGTAGCATGCTATAGAGTTGCTATGGGACGATTGGAAAGAGGCGTACAACCAAGTTCCTAGGATTCTAAGTGTCATAAAACACTACAATCCAGGCCTTAGGTGGTATCCTTATGTGGGTCGCATTGTCACGGACGTGGATGGCGTTCCGAAGCATGTTATGTAGAGAGTTTTTTGGTGTTTTGCTCAGCCCACGGAGGCCTTCAAACATTGTCATCCCTTAGTACTTATTGATGGTACATTCCTGATAGGCAATTACTGGGGTCTATTGATGATTGTCGTTGGAGTGGACCTAGACAATCAACTTGTCCCTTTAGCATTCGCTTTGGCTAAGGGTGAGAACAACGATAGTTGGTTTTGGTTCATGAAGCTTGTGAGACAGCATGTGCTCCGTTCATCTCGGATTATATGCATGATCTTAGATTGGCATCACAGTCTGCTGACAATTGTGAAAGAGCATGTATATGGATGCCCTCCTCTTGAGCATTGGTGGTGCATGAGGCACTTTGCTGCCAACATATGGAGGAGGCAGAAGAAAAAGGAGGTAGTGCAGAAGTTGAAGTCACTATGTGGGTGTCGAACCAAGAAAAAGTTCGAAGAGACACTTGCGGAGTTACAGAAGGTCCTCAATGCTAAGGCAAAGACTTGGCTTGAGGATCATATGCCTCAAAGGGACAAGTGGGCTCTTGCATTCGATGCTGGAGGTCTTCGTATGGTGTGATTACTACTAATTCTTTAGAATCATTCAACAAGGTGTTCAAGGGTATCCATGTTGTCCCTGTGTTAGGTATTGTGGAGTACTCGTTCAGGAAGTGGAATGAATACTTTGTCAATCGATGAAACATAGCAAAGGAGTCCAAAGAGAAATAGGGTAGAGCCGGTAGGAAACACTTGGATCTCTCGGAGATGATAGCTTCCAACCAAGTGGGGGAGGCCTTTGGGCCATCGAGGTTAGTGTACAATATTAGGTCAGCCGGAGGAATGAACCCGGGGACAAGAAGTACGGTGGTAGGAATTATAGGGTGGACCTTGACAAAGCGGAATGCTCTTGTAACATTCGACAACTCCTCCATGTGCCTTGCTCGCATGTCATTACAGCTTGTAGATGTAGGGGTCTAGACCATGAAAGTGAAAAGTTCATGTCTCCTTTTTACCTCATGTCAAACACTCTCAAAGTGTGGGAGTCGAGCTTCGAGCCTTACCTAGATCCGATACAATGGCCCGAGTACTACGGGTTGGATTATGTTCCCGACCCAGACCTTCTGAAGACAAAGAAGGGTAGAAGGAAGAAAAAGCGGCTCCGAGGAGTTATGGATGCATCGAACGGGTATGGTGAAGATATGGATGGTTTTGGTGACTTTGATGAGGCACCAGGACAGGTTCGTTGCTCCAAATGCCACAAAACCAGTCATACCGCTGCCACACATAAGAAGCGTAAGAAGTCAAAGAAATTAGAAACATGGAACGAGAGTCAAAGTGGTTCGAAGGTTATAAAGGTACATACATAGATTAAAATAGGTGTTGCTTATATATTCCATGCATTTGTTTGTTGTTTTGTATCATCTAGCATGTTTCATTTACTTTTTTCATATTCTAATGTTGTGTCATCGTTTTCACAATTACAGCATGGCGCACCCGCAATTCCCCCTTCTTGAGACCTACTATGACAAGGAGCACCGAGCGCACTTGATGGTCGACAACGGTGCGGTAAGTGATTTACACACAATCTTTCCTTTTCATGTATAATGTCTTTAACCCCGCTATCGATTCTAACATTTTTTTTCTAGGCCTTCGTCCCGCTACGTCCCCGAACTCACCGACTGCTCGAGTGTGACGAGCTCTACGCCCCGTACCTCTCAAGACTAGGATCCAATTTTCTAGGGTTGGCTAGAGCTATCAATACTGGCCTCCTAGACATGGATGGTCCCCTCCTCACCGCCTTCATCAATAGGTGGCGTCCGGAGACCCATAGCTTCCACCTACCCTCTTAAGAGATGTCCGTACTCATGCAAGACATTGCCTACATTTTGGACCTTCGCTTGGATGGTCTGGCAGTGATAGGCACGGTAGAGCCACTAAACTGGAAGGATATGGTGGAGTAGTTTACTGGCCATTTCCTCCAAGTGACGCTATTTTTGTGAAACCATTTCCTAAGTCCACCATTTTATAACTTATTGACATTGTATTTTCTTCATGGTTTTGAAACATTGTTCACATAGCATTACACACCATAAGGAGTTATATCATAACAAGTTCGAAGCATTACACACAATAAGGAGTTTAAAGCATTGTTCGAAGGTCATCATCATCATCATCATCACTTACATAAGTGTTCCATCTAGCATATACAAGCACTACTACTAACACTAGTTTTCCATCTACCATGAACGAGTACTACCAAATGGCAACCTCAGGCCATTTGCAAAATATGTATGGATCTTGCTGCCTTTGCACAAAAGAAGCAGCACTATCGTACCAGTCCTCCATCTACCATATACAAGACCTACGTAATGCCAAACCTATTGGTATTTGCAAAATATGTACTGCACCTTATAGGCATCAGTTGAGAGGAAACACTACTCATCGTCCTCATCATTGTCATCATCATCGTCCTCCTCCATGGGTGCGGGGATATGGCCATCGTTTAGTGCATCATCGAGGACTATAAGAACGAAACAATGTCTCATTGGCAACAATTGTAAGAAGATGCACAAGTCGAAACAAATTTCAAAATCAATTACTCACATAAGCAATGAAAATGCCTGTGGAGAAAGGCCATCTCCCTCTTATCCTTGGCCTCCTTAAAGTCATAGGCCTCCTTGTTTTGTCGCTAGAAGCTCATCAACTCAGCCTCGCTATTGTAAAAATTCAGCTGTCGACCGGTCACTCGAGGAAAGTTGTCTAAAATCCTATTATGGGTCTTCCATGATGGCATCTCTACCCCATACCTCATCCTCACCTCCATCTGCTTCTCCTCCCGCATCCAATGGTTCCTGTCTTTTTTGAGAGGCGAATGTATCTTCAGCTTCTCCGCTAACTCTCCACGACCAGTGAAGTCCTCCCAATTGCATGTCCTCCCCACCTAAGCAAACACAAAGCAATGAGCAAACAAATAGTGGCCTATGTTCATGTAGTAACTTCACTAGTTCAGTCAACTCACCCATAACTCAGACGGCCCTCCATAAGCATTGCCACAGTAGTATCTGTATCCTAACTCAGACGGAACAACTCCTTCGTGAGCCTTGATGCCACACTTGCACTTACGGTTCGGCATCTTTGTGCATGGCCATGGCTTAATGCCTGCTTGAAACTCCGCAAATTCATACTTAGAAGGCCAGTGTGATTTGGGTCCATAGTTGTACTCCTCAAAGTCACAAGAAGGGAACCCTCTCTGCAAAAAACACATGTTCTAAGTGTAACATTGTATGTGTAAAATGCATACAAGCTTAGAGATAGATTGCTTTCATGAGAACTTACATAATCTGGCAATCCACAACGATAGAAGGCAGTGAATGCTCCATGTTGGCTGGGAGTAGTTAGTCATGCCAACACTCCATAATGGCATCTAGGAGGATTGGCTAGACGGCGCAAAGCAGCGTCAACCTTCTCCGCCTCTATCATTGCCAGAGGGTTTGATGGCGGCAGAACCCAACAAACAAATTCTAAATATGGAACACTCTTCCAGGGGTCATAAGGAAACAATATAATCAACGGATCGAACATTTCATCGCCATCGATCCACTGATAGAAGCTGCATCCCTCTAGGTAGGCATCAAGTGTCGGAGGATGTCGCTTAAGTTGGCAACAGTAGAAAGCACGTCCAGCTGACACGGGAGGCCTTGACTGCTTCACAAATGCCGGTAACCCACAGTAACAAAACAATGTTGGCTCTGCTAGTAGGAAAGGACCAATAGCACCATGATCCTTCGGATGGTGTACGAATTGGTTGTCATTTGGAACCGCCATTGAACCTATTACAAAGTAGTTCAACAAAGCAAAGATATGAACTAATACTATTACACATTTCAACAACAATTTCCATCTCAATCATCTCTATAATCATATAAACCCATGAAGCCGAACCCTAAAACAAACTTATTGAATGTAAATGATGTCTATACATACATAGTCCAACTCATCTATACATCTAATCACCAAAAAAACTTCAAATCACACACTTCCAAGAAAGTTTACTATCAACAGTCCAACCCATACTGCTGTCTAAACCAGTGCACTCAAACCCTAATGCACTGGCAACCAAACCCAATCACAAAAATCATAAAAGTTCAACAAGTACAACATGAACCATAATATATTAGACGTGATTAGCCAAAGCAACTTTCATTCAACCAAACAAAAGCCAGTATTGCACATAGCAGTGTAAACCAGAGCAGTATATAAACATGAACTAAACACAAAAAAACAACAGAGGTGAGGGAGTCATACCTCATGCACAAGACCGTTCAAACCTAAAATACAAATGCAAACTTGATGAAAGGCAAATAGAGGATGGGAGGAGGAGATGAGAGAGAACACAGCAGCATGAGCTGACCTCGAGCTCGCCCAGAATGAAGGGAGAGAGAAGAGAGGGAGGAAAAAGGAGGTGGGCCACGACCTTTATATGGGTTTGTCATGCCAGCCCGCCTGGCGTGACAGCGCTGTTGTGCCAGAGTCGCTAGCGCGATAGGCCTGTGCCCACGCTCTGCCACGCTAGCTACGGTCAACGCCGGGTGCCACCGTGGCTGGGCTTGTCGCGCCAGTGCATGTGGCCGCGACAGCATGGTACTGTCGCGCTAGCACGCGCTCGCACGACCAAAAGGGTCATTTTTGCAAACATTTTTTTGGAATTAGTATTAAAATATTTATTTAAAAAGGATTAAAAATAAAAAAAATCCTCCTCTTGACCGAGTCGCATGGAGGGGAGCGATGTGGGTAGACAGCCCCTGACGATGGCGGCGTTCAATGCTAGCCCACAGGTGGCATGTCCAGCTGAAGGACGCGACCGTCCGCGACAACTGCGACGCTCCTCCACTCAAAGGGGTGCGCCTCTTCTCCCTTGGCGCTCTATCGGAGAAACACCGGTTCATCCCAGTGGTGGAGCTACAGGGTATGCCGGGTATGCACCAGCATACCCTGCAATTCCAGCAACATAGCAAGTATATATACATATATATACACATATACACTCATCTGCTGTAGTATACGACTAGCCATGTGTCACCAAGTGAAGGGCTTCTAGTTTGACTTTCACTCGCCGGACGACTTTCGCCTGCTGCCAGACGACGATGAGGAGCCACTAGATGACAAAGAGGAGAGGAGGGAGGTATTCGATCTCGATGTGCTTCTTCCCAGCTTGGCAAGGCTAGAGTGTCTGCGTTTGGGGTTAACCACGCACAAGTTCCTAGCTCGGCCAGGCTAGAGAGTCTGTGTTTGGGGTTAAGCCTCGCACAAGTCCAACTCCCACACAGCTTGGTGTTCGCATCACTTAAGGACCTCACGCTCGATTCTGTGGAGCTAGTAGCGGGCAGTGGCCACCTTCTTGCTCGCCTCTTGTCGTCGGCGTGCTGCTGAGACTTGCAAAAGCTGCGCATGATATGTGTCGACTTCAAGCGCACCGGGACGACCATGCTGGTGCTCGACGCTGGCGAGCTCTTGGAGTTTTCCATGAGCTTTATTGATGAGATGCACTTGCTGGAAATGGGGACCCTAGAGCTCCTGTTTCTTAGGATCACGGGGTGCGAGGATCTCGAGTTGCTTAGGGTCTCGGCCCCGAGGCTCAAAGAGATCACTTATCACAATAACCCAGCCTTCATCCATGACCCTTTGCCGTGCGTGTGGCGCTTAGAGGTCCAATTGATCACCCATATGAAAGAGGAGGACGATGACAATAACGAATATAGTATTGAGGATGATGATAATGACAATGATGGTAGTAATATCTACAACCTCCTGAGGCATTATAACTCATCAGTCAGATGCCTGCTCGTGCATCTTTAGTTACATTCTAGAGGTACGTATATATATTTGTTAGTAACGTTCAAATCTGATCTACTATTGCTGATAATATTCATTTTCAAGTTGTGTCGAGGTTATAACCCTTGGTGCCTAACGGCACCGATTAGTTGGCGGGCCTCGCGGCCCACAATGTATTAGCTAGCAAAGGACCAAATGACCAAGGCCCAGCTGAGCCGAGCGAACCAGGCCAGACACCAAGGCCAGGGCCAGCCACGACCCCTTTTTTCTCTCCCAGCCGCATAACGAACAGAAGATTCACGACCTCTTCACTATTACGACCCCTGGGAGGAACGGGAAGATGTCAAGCCCAGCCAAACACACCCGCTTTGGCAAAGGCAAGCACGCTACTCTGACTCCACAAGGACTGAGGTGACAGTGGTCACATCAGTCCGGTCAGACGCCATCCCTGCGCCATGCTGTGAAGACAAGACAACACCACACGGCGGTGACAACCGGTACGACGATCCACCACCCAAATATGGACCGATACGACGCATGTATGATTCTACCCACCATGAGATGGGATCCACGATAGAGGCTTTGACTTAGGGGCATCCAACCCGGCAGGAGCCACGACCCCAACGATCGGGATCAAGGCCCTCAGCTCCTCAAAATAACAAGGCGATCGATCTAGGGGAGAACCTTCTTCTTTGTATACGCCCTGGCCTTGAACTCTATATAAGGGCAGCCAGGGCACCCATCTTGGGGATCCAACTCTGATTCATTCATTCTTACACCATATAGGGCTCCTGAAGCTTCCCTTGGGGTAGCCCGTTTCCTAGCTCTAGATCTCCTACCTCTTCCACCATTCTTGCACCCCCCGTTGTAAGAACTTCAGAGCATTCAAGCGAGAAACACACACTCGATCATCTCTGAGACTGGTCATAGGGCTCTGGCCTTAACCAGTATAAATCATCGTGTGTTTTGGATGCTACTATCATCTTCCTAGAGCAGTGCGGCAATCGTATAAATTTACTAGTTCGATTTATAAAACACCGACAGTTGGCATGCCAGGTAGGGGACAGTCATGCACTCTCGATTGTTGAAAAGGATGCGATGACTCCTCGCACCGTTGGTGGACCTGCTGGCGGAATGGCCCACAGTGGCCACATCCGCTGTGAAAACTATGAGTTTATCGGCGTCGGAGGGCCAGCGCCCGCGTCCGCCTTTAGCCGCATCCCAGACCTCCGCTCTGGGGATCTGGACCCTGTGGTCTATGGAGGACGCACTCTCAGAACTGCCCTCAGCGGAAGCATCCCAGAGTACACCTACACAGGGTGGCTCGTACCCTCACTCATCACCAACCATGGCCAAGCCTTCTATCCAGGAAGCCAGAAAACCATGGCTCATGACGAACTCACCCAGGGAATGGCCTCAACCGGCCACATCCTTCTGGGAAACCACGAGGTTGTCCGCACTAATGGGTCAGCACCCATCACCAGCCTTTACCCCGTCCTGGCCAACCACGTGGGAAACCTAGGTCCGGCGGTAGAACCATGCCCCGAGCAGCGTCCCCGCAACCAGCGGAGCGCAGTGTGTCAGGCTCGGACTTGGGAGGCGGAATTGGTTTTATGGGACAGAACCTTGTGTTCGCTTGAGCTTGTCTTCCCACGTAGACAATCTATGTGCTGTGAGTTATCCGTTGCCTTGCTTGGTTTATAGTTCAGATATTTACATTTGTAGAATCTGCTAGTACTGTGTTACTTGGGTGTAATTGCAGTTGCGTGGGCGGATTAAATTGCTCGATGATACAAAGCGGTGTAGTGAGACAACGTGACAGTCAAGGGTTTTAGAGTGTTGATTATTTTCAGCATTGTCTTATTACTTGCCTAGAATTTATCTTTCTACTGTTGAACTGATTACTTGTTGATCAGTTGTTTAACCTGTGAGCTTATAACCTGTGTTACTTCCATTATTACTGCACTGTTCTAAAACTTCAGTAACTTGGTACTCGGTTATATTGCTGTCATTCTAGGCTCTTAATTTTTTTTATCTAAAAACCCTATAATTTGCTAAGGAGGACTGTCACGTTAGTCTAGGATCTGAGATCACCAACAAGCGTTAGAAGGCTGCCTCGTGCAGCAACCTCCTGATTTAAGAGCAAATATAATTATATAAATAAACAAATATGTTTATGTTATTAATCTGCCTTCTTCATCTACATGCCATGTTTAATGTTGATATGAGCCTGAGTAGCTGTATTTATTCTATACAAACTTGGGAATACCTCATCTGCATTTATATCACATTTTTATATGGCCTTTCTCTGAGTAATATGCTTGTTATATTTGGAATTAGATTATTTAATTTATTTAAATATGTTGGAAGCATGTCACTTATATCTGCTAATATTGGTGATAGTTGTGCTTAGTTTCTTAGCCGTATCTATTGGTTATAAGTTCTTTTTTCCTCAAATCATTGCAGGGCCCGAAGGGGGCCTGATGTCCTAGTAGATATGTAATCGCCCTCATCAATCCATTCTTTCTGCATTCATTCACCAACTCTTTTTTTTCTGTTGGGATATGGTGCCAAAACTAAGCAGCTTATCCAACCGGGCAGCTTGAAAACCAAAACTGTTACAAAGTGGCCCAACAACGAATGCCAATCCAATCCAGTTTCCTTGCTAAAACCCTACACTACCCACCGCACCAGACTCCCTGAAGGGAGGGAGTTCAGCCGCCGCCGCTCTGCTCGTTCGTTTCCCTCGATATCCAAATCGAGGCACGCCTTAACCCTTGATCGGTCCCCGTCGGCCGGTCGCCGCCGCCCGCTACTCCGCATTAGAATTAGACATTGAATTAGTCTGCTAGACTCGTTATTTAGACTCTGTTAAAATCAGAGGCGCCGTAGGAGGAGATTTTTTAAACTATTTTTAAATCTAACACTGTTTATTTTATTTTTTCCAAAACTAACACTTTTGGCCGCGCCTGGCGCGGCGAGAGGGGTGACGTGGCGACGACCGGGCCGCTGACCGGTGACGTGGCAGGGTCTGCCGCGCCACCGATCTTGGCGCGGCACTGACGCGCCACGGCGCATGTCGCGTCAGGACCTGGACGCAGACAGAAGACCAGCCACGGGAGCTGCTGTCGGTGAGGATCGGTAGCGACGCGACCATGGACCCCGGCTTCGCATCGCAGCTGAATGGCACCTGCAGCTCCGACTCCAACGCCTTCGCCTTTCTCGACCCCTCGCCGGTGGGATTCCACAACGCCTTCTACCATGTGCTCTACTCCGACATGAGGCCGCGCAACACGGTTGACTACTACGCGTCCAACCAGGGTGCCGTCTTCGGCGATTTCGTGGCTGCGATGACCAAGCTCAGGAGGATCAGGGTCAACACGCCGGCCACCGGTGGCGAGATACGCCGGGACTTCTGGTTCCGAACTAGTTGCTAGTTAATCTCACCGGCAGTGTTGCCGCGACACATTGAAACGAATATGAAGCAAATAAATGGAGTCCGTGCACAAATTGACAAGTTTCGGACATAAGTTCGACATTTGTTCGACATAACCAACTAAGTTTCGAACGACATAAGTTTTAGACATAACATTTGTTCGACATAAGTTTCGGACGACAATATTTGTTCGACATAAGTTCAACATAACAAACTAAAACCCAGGAGTGTAAGGATCCCTTAGACGCCTTTGTCTCTTCGGATTTGTTGGCAACACATTGGAAGTGTAGCCAACGTCGGTGTGGTCGTGTTGCCTGTACGTACGGCTCGTACCCTACAAGTATATGATATGCATGATTACTTATAATCTTTATGATCGTTAGTTCATGGAGCCTACATATTTAAAGAAACTACCATTGTTACTATCTGTGAGGCTCATTGGGTATAAAGCGGGGCACCACCTAGCTGAGATATGTTGATCTCATCGTGCGGCCAATCGTCCCACTGGTGGTGCTGTCTACGGAAACCCGAGGGATAATCGTCCTCGTTTAGAGGGTCCTTCTCAGCGCTATGATGTGATGGTGTACGCACTGCGGAAGTGGCATCTATCACTGGCTGAGAATGTAGCACCCTGGTGTTACGATCTTGTTTAGCACCGCGATTTAGGCCTAAGAAAAATTTCTGAAATGATTTTATCGGATTTTTGATTTAAAACATACTTGAGGCGATAAACGAATCCTGCGTGACTCAGTTTTGTGGACTCACATAAACGCCCAGGTGAAATTATTCAGCGCGTAGAGATATTAGGAATGTCTGACAATAATTCTGGCAAATAAATAGCGAATGGTTTGTTCTGTTAGATTAAGCATGAAAAGCAACTTTTATAAATAAAATAAAATCCATTAATAAATGAAAAGACATATATATAGCTTTTGAATCTAACTTAAATTCTAGCTTTGTTAAAAATCTCTTTGTGCCTAGATGTTGTTAATTGTCTAAATTAGTAAACTGATATATATATATATATATATATATATATATATATATATATATATATATATATATATATATATATACATACATACTCACGTGTTTATTTTGGGAAGCACGCTCAGTTGAAAAGCCTCGGGTCTAGTGACATATTTTTAAGTATAGACTCGTTTTGGTTCCTATGATAAGTTGGTAACGTACCCGCGACAGCTGCCCGTCTGGCCGCCTCATTAATTTAACGTGATGGGTGTGAAAGCACGTAACAGACGAGAGATAGCGCATCAGTTTCATTTACTTTTCCTGGCGTGGTGTACAGCGTACTCGCCTTGCTTTGCAATTATGCACCGTCTCGTCTCCCGTCATGGCTCTGCACCTCGGCGCGTCGTTTTGCCTGCGCCCCTGCCCTTCTGTCCATCGCTTGCGTTGTGTCCAAAATTTTTAATGGGAGCGCATGGCTCTGTCATGCCATGCCCCGCTAAGCGCCACCATTTGTCTGCTTGTTCTGTCGCTTCACTCTGCGGTACCATGAATGCCTCTGCTGCCTCTATCTGCCTTGCTCGTCTCTGTCTGCTTTGATTGCTTTTGTCTGCCTCCGCTA